CCCTGTGAGTGACTGGAGCCCAGTCTGTGGTCTATCCCAACCTGGTGTCCTGTGCTGCCAGAAGAGGCTCCAGGGAGGTAAAGGCTCAGATGACACCAGCAGCAGTTATTTTTTCCTGTCTTTTTTTTTTTTTTTCCTTAGTGATGTCAGCCTGCATGGTCCCTGAAATGCTCTCAGCTTAGGTTAGCTTGTGCAAGAACACAAATAGCCTGATATATTATAGCGCCCCAGTGCACACAACCAGCAGAAATTCCAGGTGAGTCATGAAGGGCCAATAAGCCAGCAAGATCCCAGGCACTTGATGATTTGAGGCGTTTAAGATTTAATTTGCCTTGCATATCTGCAAAATGATTACTTTAAAAATAAACCTCATCTGTGCCTCTGATTGAGACTAGACACTGTATTGATGATCTCATCATATTTCTCTCCTCTGGAGTCTCCTCACATGTAGTACTAGTTTTAATTATGTTACCTTCTGCCTGAAAGAGTTCAGGATTAAAAACAAAATAACAGGAATTCAAATTCAATATTTTTGCCCAACATTAGAAAACGTTTTAATTTTTATTGATAAATCTGTGTACTACTAATGGAAACCCAGTTAAAATGTATTTTAAATAGTGATAATTCGACCTTTGAAACATTGCCTTTAGCCAAATGTCACTGTGTATTCAGTCCTTAATAATATACTGTACACATTTCCTGTTATATTTTTATTTTTTAAAGAGAGATAACTGTTTTGTGCTTTAGTCCATTATAGATGTATCCAAACACCTGACCCTATACACAAGCAAGGTACAGTATCTGCCCTCAAACCAGCACATGTGAATAATGTTACTATATGTAGGACACATGGATGGCTGTACCCATAATGAAGCTTATTACTGCAGTACAACTTTGAGGATAATTGGTCATGTGACCAGAAACAATCAGCAAATCAGAGGCACACACATCTTTAGTCAAAGAACCAATCACAAGGGACATACAGTAGGAGTACCTTGGCAAGACTGAAATCCCATTTTATATAGAAACCCTCCAGAAAGATCCAAAAGTTTAGTGTGGATCATGTGTTGCATTTACGGCTGCAGTGACATGGTAAACCAGAGTCAGCCCCTCTGCTCTCCCCACATGCTGTGGTTGGTAAATAAGATTTATCCTGTTCAAATTATGAATACGACTGCCAGCCTGAGGCTAAAAAAAGGCTTTGGCTAAGCAGCAAATTCACCAGTAAGTGCCACTTGCGACTGGCATTTACATTAAATTCACGTCATTCTGTGATAGACAGTTCAGTGTTTAAGGCCTCCAGCGGCCTTACAAGGTGCCTGTTTCTATAATGTTGGTAATGTCTAGCAGCAGTTCCCCTGCCATTGTAGATGCCCATGTGTCAAAATTTTGAAAAACAAATTTTGAACAAGTACCATTAGTCTAATTTCTATGCCATTTTGTAAGAGCCATAATAAATTTCATATGGAGAAACTAATCAATGCAACTGCTGGGGCCACTGCCTCACTGCTGGGGCCACTGCCTCATCGTTCTTCAGACCATTGCCAGCTGGGGGCCAGGGTTCACTTTTTGGCACAACTCAGGGAAATGATTTTTGAATAATTGTCAGAGTTGTATGGCCCTCACCATAACAGGTGCACCTGGTTGACACACATCTGGCAGAACCTCCCATGTAACAACAGACGCAAAGTTAAGCAGATAGAAGGTCCTTGAAGCCAGAAGCCCTTCTAAGGCAAGCCCGGACTACCCAGTTGCTGCATCTGCATCGCCCAACTCCCCAGCTGCCATGCCCGCAGTGCCCAGCTCTCTGATTGCCATGCCCATGTTGTCTGGCTCACCAGCTGCTGTGTCTGCAATGCCCGATTCTTCAGCTGCCATGCCCTCAGTGTCTGACCCCCCGGCTGCCTCACCTGCAACCCTGACTCTCTGGCTGCTCGCAGTGTCCAACTTCCTGGCTGCAATGCCCATGTCACCCGACCCCCCCCCAGCTGCCATGCCCTCAGTGTCTGACTCCCCGGCTGGCTTGCCTGTGTCGCACAACTCCCCCGCTGCCATGCTCACATTGCCCAACTGCCCCAGTTACCGCACCCATAGCACCTATCTCCCATACTGCCATGCCCTTGTCACCCAACCCCCTGGCTGCCATGCCCACATTGTCCGAATGCCCCAGCTACTACACCGGCAGTGCCTAACTTCCTGGCTGCAATGCCCACGTCACCCAACCCCCCAGTTGCCATGTCCACGTCGCCTGCCTCACCCGCAGCCCCGACGCTCTAGCTGCCCACATCGGCCTATTCCCTGGCTGCTGTACCCACATTGCCCGAGACTCTGACTGTCGCACCTGCAGTGCCCCACTCTCCGGCTGTAGTGCCCACAGCTCCCAGCCTTGAAGAGACTATATCGCCAATCCCAGACTTAGATGCAGGCATGAGTATTGTGCCTGACTCTCGTAACAAGAAGAAAATATGGAGGAAGCTGTTCCTGCAGTTTCCCCAGAACCCGGTTCACCAGTGCCAGACTTGCCAAGGCTCGCCGCATCTGCTGTCACGCCGGCGTTCGCCTAACCTGCTTTCAGGTGGATGCTCACCTCACTGTTAACGCCTGTCTTTCCTGCTGTGACATCGGTGCCCACCTCACCTACTGTCAGGTGAGTGCTAGCCTTACTGCCAACGCTTCTTTTTCCTGCGGTCTTGCCAGCATACGCCTCACCTGCAGTCTTCCCAATGCCCGCCTCACCCAAGCCTCCAAGTGCCTGACTAAGGTTCACCCACGCCCATCTCGCCCAAGTGTCCAGTGCCTGACTAAGGTTCACCCACGCCCATCTCGCCCAAGTGTCCAGTGCCTGACTAAGGTTTGACAGTGCCCGTCTTGCCTGACTAAAGTTCACTGGCGCCTGTCACTTGACCCTGGGTCACTGACACCCATGTCGCCTATCCGGCCTGCTACCACTTCACTGCCAGCACCTGTCCCATCTGTGGTCACCTCTTCAAGAATCCAGTTTCCCTGCAGTGCACCTGGAACCTGGTTCCCATGCAGTTGCAACACCACTGCCAATCTCACCAGTAAGCCCCGTACTGTTCCCGCCTAAACTGTCACCCTGCTGCTGGCGGCAGCTGAGTCTCGCCTCTCCAGGTTCCGGACGGGTCACTGAGGTCAGGAACTCCACTGGAGGTAGCCCAGTTTACTGTTAGTGTCTCAGTGGATTTGTCAGGGGTATGGGCACCATCAGCATGGTCCAGATCTCCTGTTGCTGGGATTCTTGACACAGTTCAGTTCTTCACAAGACCCCAATGTGCTGGTGGCAAAGGCTTCCACCGGTTCAGTTCCACTCACATCACCTTGGGACATAACCATCTAAGACCATGTCAGACCAGATGAAAGCATAACAAGCCTTTGTTTAGCAGGCAGAATGGCATCATAGAATGCTTGTGAATAGCACTGGCCAGGGTTCTGGGTTCACGTCCCTGCAACTCTAAGTGTGAGTGTGCGAGGACTCTACTCCTTTTACTCGTGCTGAGATGGGTTTTATTAGTAGTTATACAGCTGGCTTTAGCTCTGGTTCTGTGCTCCTTCTCCTTATGCCCAGCAAAGTAGTATAAAACCATTTCCAGCTAAGGCCGTGGTGTTGAGGTTGACATGAGGCCTTAGCCACACAGAGGCCTGGTCCAGCTACAGACGGAGGCGACGGCTTGAAGGTGCTCCCTGGGCAACGTCAGTGTGCGTGGGGATGTGTGGCACTGGGTTTGCATGGCTTGGCACTTTCATGGCAGTCAGGGAGGGGAGTTGCTGACATTTTTAGATTTGTATTGAGACTATAGGGACAGAAGAATATGGCACACTGAAGGCGAAAGGATCACCCCTGGCTGCCCAGTTTTTGAAGCATTCGTGTGTAATTCAAGAATCACGTTTTTTGCCTAGTAGGTTGTGTAACTGATGATAATGTGTCTTACACATGCTTGGTTCCCTATTTGCTACTTTGTCTTAATACAGCCTGTAAAAGCCGATAGTATTGCATTCAAGCATACAGATGGGTCATGCTTTGCGAGCATGTAGTAGAGGCCTGTTCACCCAGTAGCAAGTGGTGATACATCTTCACCTGTTCACCAGTGTTTTCCCTCTATTTCACTAGCACACTTAGTCGACCCCATCCTCAATGGTATCCACACCAATGCAGGAGGGCACTTTTGAGCCTCCACTGCCCTTTCAGAAGATAATAATATCTTCTTTTTTATCACCAGTAGACAGGGGGTGTACACCTGCAGGTAACTGCCTGAGACTCAAACGATATTTACACAAAGCTTCCCTAGTTTCACCTGTAGGGGCAGGGATGTTCATTACAATATTCCTATTCTAGCAAATACAGTACAAAGATTCTGATCTCCTTAATTATACACAGGTGGTTCATGTCTACAGAGGGCATTGTTAAGGAGTCAATAACAGCGGCCTGACAGGTATATATAAAGGGTAGTGGATAGTTCACACTCACCACTTTTTATGGGACTTGGACCTGCACAGGATCTGATGAAACTCAATGATCACACCACATTAATCACCCAAGGCTGCTGCTCTTATATTTTTTTTCCAAGGGTTTGAAGTGTTTGCTTTCAAAAATCTCTGTGAGGGAAGAGCACTTTTTTCTAGTCAGTGGCAGGTGATGCAAGCTTTTGTTTTATTTAGAAGCTTCCCGACCAATGGGGCGGCCTAGGTATGCTGGCGCTGGATGGAAAAAGGAGAAGATGTTTTAAAAAGAAAATCCATGTGTGTCCATGTCTTATAAACACAGCTAAAATGGAAAATTCATCTAGTGAAATTGTGTTTGTGCTCAGTGGATTGAACGAGACAAAGACAACCAAGCAGGTTTATTTTGCATTCGCTCTTCTTGCCTACATTTTTACCTTGTTTGTAAACGTGACTCTTGTTTTGGCAATTTTTTTCGAAAGAATTCTCCATGAGCCCATGTACATCTTCCTGTGTAATCTCTGTGTTAATGGCATTTTTGGCGCTACTGGTTTCTACCCCAAGATTCTTATTGACCTCTTATCTGACTCTCACATTATTTCATACAGGGCATGTTTGACTCAGATTTACATGATCTACAATTATGTTTTCTGTGAATTTGTAAATCTGGCAGTGATGGCTTATGACAGGTATGTCGCAATATGTAAACCATTGGAGTATCACTCCATCATGACGCCTTGGAAGGTTGGAAAATTACTGCTGGTGATTTGGCTTATCCCGTTTTGTGAGACATCAGTCGGCATGATCATGACAGCTAGACTAACGCTCTGCGGATCAAGGATTGATAAGCTCTACTGTACCAACTGGGAGGTGGTGAAGCTCTCCTGTAGAGACACTACACTGAATAATTTATACGGCTATATTCTTATGTTTATGCATGTTTTTCAAGCATTTTTATTGATCTTAATCTCTTACATCCAAATCATCAGGACGTGTCTGAGATCCCGAGCAGAAAGGAGTAAATTCATGGAGACCTGCCTGCCGCACCTCATCACCTTAATTAATTTCACTCTTTCCTTCACTTTTGACGTTATGTATGCACGCTACGGGTCTCAGGGCTCTCTCCAGTCTCTCCGTAATATTCTCACTGTAGAGTATCTGGTCGTTCCTCCTCTCCTGAACCCCCTCATCTATGGCCTGAAGCTGAAGCAGATTCGTAGGAGTATATGGAGAAGGTTTCAAGCCAAAAACTGTCACGCTAAAGTAAAGCCAAAAATAAGTAAAAACATTTTAGCTCACTAAAGCTTACGGTTCTTTTAATCATGTTAAATGTCTTGGGGGTAGAGTTACTTATGTTAAATTTCAGCACATGCTGTACAAGTGTATAAGTGCTGTGATTAATGTCCTATTTTCCCTTTAAATTAATGTAAAAGTCTGCTTGTCTCTGTCTCAGAGCCACTAGCCACAGTTCACCTCATTCCCCAGAAGAATATGTGAAATTACATCCCATGTGGCCAACCACAGACTGTCTTTCTTGGGTTAAATTGCTATGTCTAAGGTGATACAGCTCTAATTGTAATATGGTTACTTAGCAAGGCCTTTTCTCTGAATCGCCATACTTTGAAAATGATTACTTTTCCCTAATTGTGTCCCTGAAGGAGATGTTATGTGTCAGTAAATTCTGTGTTTGTGTGAATATGGTAGTAACAATCATGTTCACTTTATATACTGTAATTTTATTCATATAAAAAAAGTGAAGAAAATCACGGTTT